AGATGACGCGGCGGTCGAGGACCACGGGGTTTCCTTGCTGGCCTTGCTCGGTTCTCGGGAATAGTATTGCGGATCACGGCATCCGAGTGTGCGCTCTCCCCTGGGGGTATGGGCTTAAGTAAGTGTAGAGACATGCGCATCTTGCACTTGATTGGTATTGAAATGTGAAGATGCGAATTAGCTGATACCGGGGAAGACGGGTAGATCGGCCTTTTACGGCATTACTTTCTCTTCCTCTCTCTCTCATTTTCCTTTTCTTCCACTATCGCGGGTTTTTGCTCTTGCGCGGATGTCGGATGTCAGACGGGGAAGGGCGGGGGAGGAAGGTTAGTGCAGCTTCGTGTTACTTTACATATTCGGAGGATTGACGATCCCGATGGCTGTGTTTCTTGTATGCAATGTGATTTCGGGGAATTATGCTTCCTTATTTTGCGGAGAGACTTGTTTGGTGGCGATCAGGGTATTTGAGTCGTTGTGTTTGACGTTGGGAAGGATACCGGAGGATATGTGCCGAGAGGATTTACAAACCTGATGTTCATACATAGGCTTTATTTTTGTACCGAATATTGTGACCGTTAATGGGCGTTTTATAACATCACTGCTTGTATTAACGTGTAGCATGACTTGGTGCTTCCGCTGTCAAGATCCCGATCGTGACCAACGTGGTTTCTAGGACCCCCCGGCTATGCTTGAGAAGCTGGTTCATACTGAGACTGGGAAACTGGTATCGGCGAGAGGGAGATGGGAGGGATACGTTAAGTGCGCCAAGGATATATACCCATACAAGGTACATGACAAATGACAGCTGTTGCAAGGATGCAACTGAGACAAGCCAGAACCCAACAAATGGGATTGTATATCCAGATTCCTGGACTATATGTCAGCGTCACTGTCCACGCGTTGCAAGTCTATTGTGGCTTTTCTTTTCTTGTGTGTGCGGGGAAGAGAAAACCCTTGCTGGGCTGAGAACTGGTGATTAATGCAACAAGGTCAGGGCAGACAAACTTAGATTGATAAGAGATCTTCCTGGCAGCTGCGGTGAAAAGAAATGCGAAGGATAGAATTAGAATGGCATAGTTTGGCATGCACTAAGAGTACAGGACAACAACAACCCGATACACATGAAGGAAGGTGATACCCGGCTAAAATGGGAGAAATGTTGGACAAAGTCAAAACCTACGTCATCGGTGAGTTTTCGTAGCATTTCCATATTGTTATCGTTATTATGGTCTTTCTTGCTCCCTAGAAGGTTTGCTCCCACCAGTATGCGACGAAGTAGAGGCAGCGTGGTATTAGCAGCCGAGTGGCTGTCTCACTAGGTACAGCCCTGTAATAGTGCCACACGTGAAGTCAGCCTTGTTCCATTAATACACGTTGGCAACGGCTGTCCAGACGGAGCTAAGGTAGCTGTAAGCAGTACTGGTCAGATTGAAGGCGACGGAGAATAATGCATTGACGAGATGAAAAGGACGCGGTGGCTGAAGGACCATGATCCGGGTGTTTCGCATTGCAGGCAAACAGGGGCCTCTGGGCTATCCAGTCTAGACCATTGCTCTCAAGGTTCTCTTTTTAGTGTAATCTGAAAGCGATGCGATGCCACAGATTGACAGGTCAGATCAATAATCCGATCCAAGTGCAAAGGTCGTCTTTGAAGATCGGGACTTATATTGAACGGCTGACTCGGTTAGCGAGAAGTGGCAGATCTAAGTGAGTGTGTTGGCTTGCACTGTCCTCGCATCCCCTTTACACGAAAAAAATGGTACACTTCTAAACGAGGGATAGCGCAGCAAAAATGTGCCATTTTTTTTCGTGCGGAGAGGGGGTGCTCGCGTCGTCATACAATAGATCGACGTTAGCTAAGCTCTGGGCGATGGTCAACCGTACGTAGTCGATAACCAACGAACGTTGCATGGAGTGCGTGCGCATTAAGTTTGGTCAGCAAGAATATCGAACGAACAAAGTTTACTTTTCCTCCGCACACGTGGCGGGGATAATAGACTTGCACCATCGATGCCAGCCCTAAGTATTCAACGGGTGCATCGGAGAATTTCTGTAGGAAGCTTGGGAAGCTTGGAAAGCTTGGAATGAGCGGTGGTGGAATTTTGCACGATACAGCTGTTCCCCCAAAACTCCTAGGCAAAGTCGAGATTTGGCACCGACCTTGCACCAATCTTTGAGACAAATCACAGACATTACAGGGACCTGTCCATTGCCAACCAACTTGGGTTTGCGTACAGTAAGCATGGCGAGATCGTTGGGTGGCAGTGCTGGGGCTGGGTCCACTTTGGGCTAGTGCCTTACGATTGAATAGCAAGACGGGTGTAGTACGACTACTACTACGACTTTCACACTTGCGTGTGCAGACTCGAAACTCAGGAATGAGGACGACAAGAGAGTAGAGCCGCTCCCCTGGTGGCAGCCCCGACATGTCCCATCATGTTGGGCTCCAAGTGCCAAACTTTACGCTGTCATATTGCATAAGTTTCTCTGCATTACTTGGGCCGTGTGATAGACATCGGATAGTAAATTGCCTGAGGCCAGTCACAATACCTCAGCTTTGGCAAATCCAGCAGCCTTGGACGCGACAAAGCGCTACCGCTGCATACGTGCTGTGTAGTCGGGGCAGTAGCCGAGGCATGTATGTATGCAGTGACCACTACCGCGGCTTGTTCTTGGTGACTCTGAGCTATTCCTCAATCGTACATCAACGCCCAAGAAACATACTGCGTACACCAGATGATGTCCGTTTAGGATACTCCTGAATCTCGATTTCGTAGGGCTTGTGTAAAATGTTAACACGGCCCCTAGGGGTGGTACCTAGGAAGACGATTGGGCAGTCGAACCGTGGTTGAAAATCGTAAGCGGAGTCGTCTCCGACCGTATCTGTTGAACTAAACGTTCCGTCCCGGAACCAGACCATACCCCTCTTTCAGAAATGTCCGGTGGCTGCCTAGGCATGCAGGGTCAGCCTAGTAAGTAGCCCAGAGGTATTGCTGCAGGTGCATCGTATTGAACTACTGCCTCGAAGCTCTGCGTCTTGAGAGCAAGGAACACCGTGGTTAGTTACCCCACTGAGACAGAGAATTTGAAGCTGCTGAGGGTCCAATGGGGCGGTTGTTTGGGGAAGTTCCAACTGGCGTAGTAAAGTAGTAGCGTTGGTTTTGGAATACGAGTCACATGGGATGTCTGCGAGCACCGAAGTGACACCGGTATTGTATAACGGCACACACCCGTGGGTGCTGTACTGGTGTACCGATGTTGCGACACTCGCGCAAGGCCCCTTTTCAGTTGGTAGTGTGTCGTCTCAAAAGGCTAATATCTCAAGCGATAAGGCGCCATTGCAAGATGACATCAGATGTGTCCAAATTAGGCCAAACGGCCAAGCGGCCACGTGGAAACGCTCGGGCCATATCGCACACCTGACCCTGTTCTTTCAATAGTGATCCCCTTTTGATGTGATAGTAAATGTGTAGCGAGAACGCCAGGCTGCCCAATGATGTGTGCAGTATTGCCGTAAGTCGGTTAATGGAAACAAGGGACGCGGCATCAAGGAAGAAGCGGACACAGTGGCAGGAATCTAAGGATAGATGCTCGCCCTGGTTTGTAGAAGCTTTTGCAAGTTAGGTTTGACAAGCCGGCTTCCTCCTAGCCCTGCGTTGAACGGGAAGAACGGTTGTGCGAAAGAGAAGAAAAGTAACGGCGAGCATCCCTGGCGATCACGATGGTGCCATGGGCAGCACCGGCACCAGCTTGGTGATTGTAAGTAGTCGAGTTCCGAAAGTGGCCCATGTCCTGGATGGCCTTGAAGAACATGTGCCCTGTGTTGGGCAGAAGTGCTTGAAAGGCTCGAGGAAAGCATCCCGAGACTACTGTACACATTACATATGAGTTCGGCAGAATGATCCACAGCAAGCGAGGCGTGCCGCATGTGCGATTCAGATGTCGTTCTGGACGGTGAGTTGGCTTGTCATTGAGAAAACTGTTGCTAGAGTGCATACTGGCGTACAGTACACAGACACGTAGACATACGGTAATATAATGTAACATGGACCTTGGCTCGCTTGCGCATAGCCAATAAGTCTTTTTGCGGACGATGAGCGGAGGCTGGCTCTGCATGGCTCTAAATCTACCGCCCACTTGCTGGCGCCAAGTGGATGCCGCTTGAGCAACTAACGCAGAGAGCGAATCGGCACCAGTCCCGGGAAAAAAAAACAGGGCGAAGAAGCTTCTGTCATTGGGATAGGGTGGAGGAAGAAAAGAAGAATGCGTGCATTACCTGAAGAGGGTACAGTTTGGAGAGGGAGACGGACGAAACGAGACTGGCGGCGGGGAGAATACGAGGCAAGTGGGCGGTCGGAGTCGTGTGCATGACTTTGAGCAGAGGGTAGCTAGGCAAGCTTGCAGGTTGAGAGTGGACGCCTAAGGATGGTAGTGGGTGATGTGCCCTGCCGTAGATCCGGAGATCAGGTTGTTGCGACAGTGAGGTGGTGGGTGAGAGCAGGTTGTTGGCGTTGGGGATGGCGGCTATGGTGATTCCGTCATCATGTGCACGAATCGAGGAGGGCGCCAGAGGCTGGCGACTGCGCGAGGACCCGCACGGGGCCGGAAGATCCAGGGACCACCACACCACACCACACCACACCACCTCGTCATTGAGGAGCGATGGGGCAGGTGTAGAGAGGCGTTGTGGTTGCATGGGCGCAAGCCACCCGAGGAGCAGTTTGGAGCCCCGGTGGATGCAGAGATGCTACGATCGATGGCAGCGATGTGTGTGTGTGTGTAAGTATGCAGTAGTAGAAGTATGTCGTAGAAGTATGTAGTAAGTACGGTACATTACATGGCATGGATGGGCGTGGCCAAGATGGCATCACCTGACTTTGTCGCTCCGCTTGGGAGCCGTGTGTCGTGTATGCGGGATGGGGTTTATTGTCTCTCAGGGATCGAGTCTATTCTCAGGGCCGGGTCTCAGTGAAAAGACGGGCGTGAACGGGCGTGGTTTTCTAGAAGCGGAGCTTGTCCGTCGTATGCACGCCCAAGGCAAAAGTTTGCCAGGCGAGCCTGACTCGATGGCGAGCCGGCGGGAGGAGGGCGATTCCAATGAGCCGACGAAGGCTTCTAGCGTGATGTATAGTGGCAAGCCACAGAAGCAGGCGGACGAAGCCAGGAGAAGGTGCGACGGCGACGGCGATGGCGATGTGCATGTCGCCTGTCTGTCTCTGTCGTGTGTGTAGTGTGTAGTGTGTAGTGTGTAGTGTGTAGTGTGTAGTGTGTAGTGTGTAGCGTGTAGCGTGGTAGTCTGTGGGCGTGTCTGCGTGTCGATGGTCAATACCGTGTCTGACTGTGTGGGCAGCACCAGCAGCACCAAGCCCATGGGCGAGACCGTCTCCTGACTGGGCTCTCTCTCCTATCGCTCTGGCTCCGCCGCCGTCGCGGGCCAGTCGAGCAGGCCGAGGGGGATGCGCACTGCGAACGGCCGCTGACCCGCCAGCATGGGCATGGGCAGGCATGGGCGAGGGCGAGGGCGAGGGCGAGGGCTGGTTAGTGTTAGCGGGCTGAATCAGTGGGAATGGAACATAACAAACGAGTCGATCCAATCCTCCCTATTGCCGGCCCTTGCCCTTGCCCATGCTTGGCCTCGCCCGCTAGCCGGCACGTCGTCGCTCGCCAGGGCCCGGGCACCGCCGTCGAGCCCCGTACAGGGATTGGGTGGGTAGTGGGAGATGCGTCGGGCGGTGCTTGCAAACACACACCCACACACACTCACATAGTCGTAGTACTACTTGCGCACGCACACGCTCACACACGCTCACGCACCATCACGCACACCACACATACATGCCGCAGGTGGATGCCCACATGGATTCCCCCCACCAGGCACAGACAGGCCCGCTGCAGCGCTGGCCCCAGTCCAGCTGCTGCAGACAGCAGCATGCATCCGCTTCGGGGCACCCTCTTGTGCGCTCCATGGCTGCATTGGCCGTCGACTTACTCCATGGGCGTCCGTGTGCCACGGCTCGAATCGCGTGTCGGGCGCAATGGCAATACCCCGGTTCACGCAGCTTGCCGGTACCTGGAGCCTCTAACCTAAAGGTCCACCCAGCCCGCCGCCTCTTCGACCATCCTCCGCCTGCCCTTCTCCATGCTGAAACGTGCGTGAGGCGATCCAGCTGCCAGCCCTGCCCGTCCATGTCCTGCCCGTTTACCCTTTCTTTGCCTGCTGCCCGCACCCCTCCTCCAACCTCCAACCCTCGACCATCTCCTTCCCGACTGCCCCAACCCACCTCCCACCATTACCACCACCACCACTACTACTACCACAATAACCACCACCACCACCACCATTACCGCCCGCGATCCACCTCAGGCCCTCCACTCGACGTCGCCTGCTAGGCCTGGCCACTCCACCGCCTCCCCGACTTCCACCACGGCCTGTCTGGGGGCTCAGGCGCGCCCATGTCGTTTCTAGGGTTCCGCCCCAACTCGCGCAGCGGCCACACGCAAAAGTCCTTCAACTCCCACGGCCATCGCTCCGACGTTAATCTTGCTTCGCAGGCGCCCCCTCCCCGCTCTGGCCGAGCTGGCACGGGCGCCATGGACATTGAAAAGAGTCGGACCCGCCGTGAGAGGACCTACATTGGTAGCGAATGCTGCGTCTGCGAGGAGAACCTCGAATACACGCTGCGGGGCGAGCGCATCTTGCAGCTGTCCTGTGGCCATGTGTCGCACGAGGCATGCTTCTACGAGTACATTCGCGAGTTCGAGTCGCAGCATTGCCCGACATGCGACGCCGCCCTAGCGCTTGATACCAGCAGAGGTGGAAACGTGCTAGATCTGGGTAGGCCGTCGCCAGAAGCTGTGCCGAGTAGCCATGCTGATGTGGGGACAGAGAAACTCTCAACCATTGTGCGTTCCGTCCAGAGCGACCCGGCCCCGTCCCAGCACTCTGACGGCCATCGGAGCGCTTCAAACACCCCCACCCCGTGGGACAGCCAGACCGTCTCATCAGACAGGCGGCATGACGACGCGTCCCACGGCCGTCCCCGCAATGGCAGCAATGCCTCAGCCTCGTATTCCTCTATTCACCACAACAGCCGCCAGCGGGATAGCAGTCATAGCCGCGACCGTGGTTCAGATAGAGGTGGTTCAATCTCCCGTGCCCATGGTCGCAGCGACTCTGGCGCTACAGGGCTTGCTTCGTCCAACGACTATGCCCCCACACACGATGGCCGGCGGCATGACTACGATGTGCAATCCATGGAAACCAGCCTCAGCAGCCCGCGCGCCATGCTCAAGAGCCCCATCCCCGCCCCAACAGTCACTGTGCGCAGCGAATTCCCCACCCTGAGCAGATCACGACAACAGCAGAGTCTTACTTGCCTCGTCACAGTCGAAGTCGTCGAGGGAAAATGGCGCCCAGACCCGGATGACATGCGCAGTGCTCCAGCCCTTCCCTCAGTAGCCAGCGTTGCTGAGAGCAGTTACGCCCGCAGCAAGTCGCCCGTAAACAACAGACCATCAGAGCCCCAATACGAACCGGCAGAGGTCTTGGACGAGATTACAGAGGACCTCCATGCCCGTGTTGACAATTGGCACGGTCTGGACTTTTCGCGTTTCGGCAAATTGCGACTCCATGGCCACATTCGTGTGGGCAAGGACCGCCAGTCATGGCAGGAACTCGAGTGCTATCTCTTCTCCGAGATGCTCATTTGCGTCAAGGAGAAGAAGATTAACCAGCCCCAGTGGGAGGGTGCATCGCCCACAAAAAAGACAAAATGCACCCTCAAGGGCTCTATCCTCATCAAGAAGCACCTCAACCAGGTCGAACACTCGCCTGACAACTTGATCCTAACACTCAGCCTCTCCGTGGCAGAACTCCCGGCCTTTCATTTGCAGTTCCGGGACCCCGGTCAATTAGAGCTGTGGCGCCGCGCCCTCATGGACATTCGTCTAGACTTCCCTGTCGCCAACCGCATGCCCGAGTACGATCAGGACAACTCTGGAACAGAAGAGGATGACTACCGTCGACCAAAGCGGGTTTCATCCATCAATTCCTCTCACGGCGCAGCCAGGTCGACCATGACGGCGCCTACAGAGTATAGCACTTCGCGCGCGGGCATGCCAGAACCCCGCATCGGTGCCTCGGTACATGTCCCTGTCGACATCGTCGTCGTCATCCCTGTGTCTTCGTCCATGCAAGGCTTGAAAATCAATTTGTTGCGTGATACCTTGCGTTTCTTGGTAAACAACCTAGGCGAGCGTGATCGCATGGGCCTAGTCACCTTTGGTTCAAGTGGCGGCGGCGTCCCTATTGTCGGCATGACCAGCAAAGTGTGGAGAGACTGGTCAAAGGTGCTTGACTCCATACGCCCAGTCGGACAGAAGAGCCTCCGTGCAGATGTGGTGGATGGAGCTAATGTGGCCATGGACTTGCTCATGCAACGCAAGTCGAGCAATCCCCTTTCGTCTATTCTCCTCATTAGCGACTCGTCTGTCTCAGATACCGAAAGCGTCGACTTTGTAGTGTCGCGCGCCGAGGCTGCCAAGTAAGTCCAAGTCCCCGTATCATACCGAATACAACCTTGCAGTACTGACGTGCTTTCTCCAGGGTCTCCATCCACTCGTTTGGCCTGGGACTAACTCACAAGCCCGACACAATGATTGAACTTTCGACACGAACCAAGGCGTCTTACACCTACGTCAAAGACTGGATGATGCTTCGCGAGTGCGCAGCCGGGTGCTTGGGCTCCCTCCAGACGACTTCGCATCAAAACGTGAAGCTAAAACTACGACTACCAGAGGGCTCTCCTGCCAAGTTTGTCAAAATCAGTGGCGCACTACACATCACTAAACGAGCCACTGGACGAGATGCGGAAGCCTCGCTGGGTGACTTGCGCTTTGGCGACAAGAGGGACATTTTGGTGCAACTGGCCATTGCGCCAGACACAGGTTCCCCAGAGCAGGTTCCCCAGGATCCTTGGGAGACAATTGTATCCGGCCTTGAAGCCCTTGGAGGCCCACTCGACCAGGATGACTCACGCACACTCAGTGTTGAAGAAGTACCATTGATCCAGGCTGATCTCACATATGGTGACATTCTTCGAGAAGGCTCCCTTGCGCACCTGCCGCGGCCATCACTACTAGCCATTACTCTACTACCTTCCAGTACCAGGAAGAACTCTACCGCGGTTCCCCCAACACCTCCGATTCCGCCTCACCCACATGTCGTGCAGAGACGTATGGAGTTGCTCACGTCAGACATGTTGACACGCGCACTGACGCTTGTCTCACGAGGCCAGCATGAACGAGCTCATCACTTGCTCACGGAAACCCGCAGTATCCTCAAAGGACTGGGCAAGGGCGGTCTGCCGCCACTTCCGCCCCCTGGCCACAGACGCAACGACCCATCCAGTGCAAACGGCAGCACAGGATCAGCATCACCCACGACGCACAGCGCCAGTGGGGACCTTCGGGCACGAACACCTTCACCACACGCCGACAGCCCCTTTACGCCCGCTGCCGGAATTGATGTACGAACCATGCATGCGCTTGACGCAGAACTCGAATCCAGCCTCGAGTGGATCAACCACCCCGCTGTGTTTGGGCGGGATTCGCGCAAGGCGGTACTTCAAGCCATCGGCGTTATTTCATCACAACGAGCCTATACATTCAGGTCTCCAGCCGAGTCTCTCTGGGCAGAGCGCATTGCTGGCATCAAGCGTCTGTCCGAGCTCTCGCGCGACTGGCGCGAAACCGGAGACCAAGAAGCATTGATGGAGGAGAATTAATGATGTGCAGTCCTCTTTAGGAGCACTATGTATTTGCCTGCATATACCCTGTATCATTCTCTATCCTTTTCGCTCTATTATTCACGTTTCGTTTATTATTTCCTTTATCTACTCTTCATGGCCACACTATTTTTTTTTGTCGGCGATTGTAGGGTCTAAGCCGACTTCTGGCGCTACCTTTTGGGAGGCTTTTGTTTCGTTTGCATACCTTTTCGGCTTATGATACCAACACGGTCTGGATCTCCTTGTATTGCGCGGATTTGCTGGGCTTGACAAAAAGTAGGACTTGGGCGTCACCATCACCACATTATGTTTTAGAGGATACCACATGTGCTTAGCGATTGATTGGCTAGACACAAACACACACGCACACTCACACTCACACACATATACACACACACACAATTATTTAGATGCACACGAATATCACACCCCTGATTGTATAGAACGAATCGCATGTTTTACCTTTTTACCTTGAATTAAAATTCAATGTCTGGGCGGGATGTGACATGATAAGTGTTGGCGGCAGCGTGTCTTAGTTGGCGGCTGTATGCGTACATGCTAAATGCATAGGTAGCATTCGCCGCGAATCTAGATCTTGGAAGTAGAAGCGACGACCTCTTGGGAAGGCGCCATACGGCGACAGAAGCACCTGCTCTCTCCATCCACGGTGACTTCCGCTGTCAGGCAAGTTGACACGCACCAAATTCCGGTAAAATTGACCTGTTCGGCGCACTCGGCGGCTTTTACCCCTCACCCTTATGTCGGCCCCATTATACTCCCTATAACTTCACTCGGATATAGGCTTCGCATCCGTACCGTGTCCACGCAGCCCGTACCGTCTTCCTCCTCCCCGCTGACGGGCGATCTTACATTACACAACTACACCATTAGACTTTATGCACGCTGCTCTATGCAGGCTGCCAAAAAAGCATCTGTTTGTTTATTTGCCGGTCTTGGTCTTGTTCATCCCTCTCTTTCTCTCTCTCTCTCACTCAGCCACTGTTGTCTACACCGGGAATCCATGGAGAGCGGGGCCTTTGTGCATGGCATATATTCAGATCAGCAATAACCAAGCCAAAGTGGACGCCGACTTGGGGTCTGCAGGCAGGAGGTGTGCGACAGGATAGGGCAAGTAATGGCAATAGTTCAAGACCTGCCACTTTCGGGATTAGTCCATCTTATCCGTTGTTGGACGGGTCGTGCGGCCAGAGCACACAGCAAATGCACCAAGTCCACATCGAATATTTGACTCGTAATGCCTGTGTTACGCTCACAGATCCGTTCCTGAGACATGGTATTCAGCCCAAGTTCCGGCTGCACGGGCTGTGCCTGGCATCTACCGGCTTCCCACATCGCGGCTGGCCGTTGTAAGCCCGTTTGCACGGCCATTGTCACTACTGACGTCAAATCCACTGACATCCTTTGCCAAGATCCACTCCAACAAGCCCACTCACTCATGTGATGTGGGTGCTTGTCCCACTTTCTTTCCTCTCACTTTACTGGCTCCATCCTGGCTGCCCACGCGGCGCATGCAGCCTGTCCGAGGGAACATCAAAGCCGTCAAGACAAGAAAAATGCCAGGCTGTGAAACTGTTTCATCCCGGCCTTTTGACAAGCCCCCCCCCCCCTCGCCCCGTTGAACTCCACACAAGCGAGTTACTCAGCCCGCTCAAGTCACCCGTGACCCGCGACAGCGGTACCGCGTTGGCTGGCCAAATCTAATTCTCCAAATTCAATACTCCAAGTCTTACATATCGTGCTACCCATGCGAAGCCTCGATACGCCATCTTTTCTGCAATTTCGGAAAGAGTTGGCCGCAAATGTCAGCTAAAGACATCACCATCGTGCGGAAGCGGGGTGGTATGTACTTATCCAAGGAGCGGCCATATCCCGGGCCAATTCTCTCCAACCCGTTACAGAAGAAGACGCAGAAGCGCTTCAAGAGGAGGCCCGACTTCTGCATCCCTGCTTCCTTTTTTTCGAACTATTTGTCCCGCTCTTTAGGGTGGCGATGCAAAGCAAATTCTCGCGGCACATGTTGGAAAATCCAGATGCACAAAAAAAAGTAAATTGGCACCAAATGAACGGTTCGCACATGCTGGCTAGACCAGCCAATCAACGCTCACATCTATACGAAAGACCCTCCAGATCAAAACATCAAACACTTTCCAACTTAGCTTCTCCATTACACGTTTGATCGTCATCAATTCTCTTCCGGTCTTGATTCCTGTCGTCTCGCTAATCTTTGTCCCCCTTGCCCTTGCTAATATCTTTTCGTTTGTCTAGGCCTTCTGCAAACAAGCCCTTCGCTATCGACAAGTGCACGTGCATTGAGACCCTGGGCACGGCGTCTCCCTTCCATTGCGAGGCGAGGCGAGGCGGACGGGATTTCGGCTATGATCTTCAACCATGGCTGAGTTTCGACAGGGGGTATGAGCGTATGCATGATAACAAACGGTCTTTCCAAACGACTATTCCGGTGTAGTTACACGAGCCGGCTGTCCCTCGCCTCTGTCGTCACAGAATGGTCATTACAATATGCACTTAGGCAATCCCAGAAGACATTGCCTTGACAATTGCCCGTTGTCCGCTGCAGTTTCCGATGCTGCAGGGCACAAAGGTGGTGTGCTATGTTGTCAAAATGCAACAACCGCTTTGTGCATTTTTATTCTTCTCTTTCCACGATGGGCACGACACATATCGACATGCATTGTTGTGGAGATGTAGTGGTGGCGTTATTTCCTTTTATTTCCTATTTGCGCCTTGAGTGCTTCGGTATACTAATCATCATCATCATCATCATCAGTTGCTATTCTCATTACGGTATATTATTTGTTTTCTCTTCTTCTTTCCTCGCCTAAGGCGCCTGCCGTAGGATTCGTTCACCGCATCGTTGCTTCCGATCGAGATAGCCCTACACGCTAGCCGCGAAACAAGTTCCATCCCGACTGTGCAGCAATCAGGTGCGCCAGAAAGCTAGATCCATACGTTCCTGCAAGGCCTCTCATCCAATCGCCCTGTTTTTGCTTGAGAAAAGGCAAACATATGCATGCTAATGCTAAGTGCCACGGGGGCCAGGGGTTCGCATGCATCTGTGCATGAGACCAAGCGATTATTGGATTGTTACGTTGGTATTTTCCTTTAGTCTACGAGTCGGAATGTGGGGAGGGGTGATGATTAAGTAGGTGGGTGTATAGACGACTTCGCAGGGTAATCATCATGCTATTATCTGGTAAGTTTTAAACCCCGGTCTCCGGAATACTTGCAATAGCATGTCTGGTATTAATATATATGCGTCGCTATCGCTTTTTTTTTCTTCGTATTACATGAATTAGGAAACGATGAACGATACCCAATACCCGGTATCCACGGCCTCACCGACGAGTCACACCGGGAAAAGAAAACACAATGAACACCCCAAAACAGAAGTACATGCTGAAGAAGCAACACAATGGCGTTCTACAAGTGCACTCGAGAACCCACAATAGTCCTTTCGCCCCCAAAAGTCTACCTGCACGTACAACTGAAAACGGGCAAGAAAAAAATCGCCCAAAGATATTAATATCCACATTTTCAACCTATTCCGGCGCTCTACCTATTTTCTTTTCCCATCTCGACTCTCTCTTGTTTTGTTTTTTTCTAAGCAAGACCGACGTAATCCACACCCCAAGAGCTCCAAAACCTACCTACGCGCGCGGAGCAACGTCGGTCCACGCCTTGCTTCCCGTCCGTCATGGCGGGCCGCTAAAACCCCACATAAGTAGTCATATTACTATCCGTATTCAAGCGCCCCCCCTCCCCTTCACAGCCACTTTGCTTCGTAAAGTCACTCCACTCAACAACCAACCTCATCCTTGCTTTTTGTTTCTTTTTGCTATCATCCTTTTTCTTTTGTATCACATCTGCCGCGCTCCCCGAGCAGCGGGTTTCGATCTGTGACTTCCCACCACCCCGGCCAAACCCCGAAAGGCCTCCCTTGTTTGGTTTAGTATGGGTTTGGAATGTGGGTGTGGTACCCCCGGGGCTGGGGGGGTGGGAAGCAGAGAGCGGAAGGACAACGGCGTATTGTCCCATCGTGGATCTTGGCTCGCATGATTTTTCCCCGCACACCCCCAAGAGAATTGAAGGTTTTGGCTAAGCTCCACACTTGAAGGGTGTGGTGTGGTTATCGGTGGAGCTTGGGGGAGGGTGTCGGTTCTGGGCAGCTTGGGGCTGTGCTGGTGACCGACCAGCAGAGGGTGTGAGTTCTTTGTTTTTTTGCTTTTGCCGCAGGATGGGGCGTTGGCGTCGGCGTGGCTGGTTGTCGTGACGTATCTGAAGACGTATCTCTAAAGACCTCTATACGGACTCGCTAGGCGAATATCACTGTTTAGATGAGTTCCTTGCTGAGAGCCTTAGATCCCTCACTTTTTAATTCTCGATCACGACACAGCAGAGCAATCAAGCTCCTTGCAAAATATAGATAGTCGTATACAATAATCAAGACCTATAGAGCTCATAACTTAAAAATGTCGCACTGATAGCTATTTTGTGTGGCTCAATAGGCTTAAGTTAAGCTTCTGTTTTGGTGTTCAAGGTTGTTCGCACGGCCGGACAGCTCAGTAAACCATAGGAGCATAACACGATATAATGTGTGTGCTTGTTGTCATTTTAATAAAAGTGATAGTAGTGGTTGTACATCAACCCTAAAACTAGCCATAAAGGAGTCAACTTCAGAGGCTGAAGTAGACCCAAGGTCAAGAGTAGCGAAAATGGGGTGATAGCTCAGGAGTCCGACCTATGTCAGAATGGTTGCATAGATGTAGGAAGTGAGTGTGTGTGTGTGTGTGTGTGCAGCCATCTAGGAGCAAGCTCTTTATCATCGCTACAGCCACTTTGTTTGGTCCTGCATGAGATTCTCCTCTGGTAAACCAACGCTCAGACCCCTTCCCAACTCACGCAGGACTTGCAAAATCCTGAGTCCAATACCAACTTCCATCCGACCCTGTAGCGGCCCCAACACCCGTATGCTGAAGAGCGCAATCCAGAATGTTAGCCCGATGCCCAGGACTTTTCATCCATGCCTCTACCACGTCGGCAGCACTAGTCTGCCCTTTTGCTATATTCTCGGCGGCGCTTCTGAATTTATATCCAGCGTTCAGGATACGGTTCGTAAACGGTACTCCCTCGGGAGTAGTATGGCTAAAGTATCCTCGCGAGGCCATATCGTTCGAGTGGCCCTGAGCGGCATTTGCGAGGTGCGAGACAGTTGCGAGTCTACTGCACCCATTGGCAACTCGATGGTTGTTCACCAAGTGCACCACTTCGTCCTGGATAGAACTAAGAACCACGTCATCTTGGCAGTCAGAAATGCGGTGCTCTCCCTGTTTACTGTTTTCAACAAGGTGATCGATTTCCTTGTGCATGGGCTTCTGCGGGTTCAGCTGGCTTTGGCGATATCTGCGGGCGTTTGCGAATGGAGAACCTTGGTAGGTCATGTATGGAGCGTCTGCTATAGCCGGGCTGTTTCCTAGGCCGTCGGGTTTTTTGTCTGGAAGATAGACTACTTTTACAGAGTGGAAGCCCTCCATCTCATAACAGATGCCTACTTCCAGTTGCGCGTAGCTTCCATCACATGAAGTACCAGTATAAACGAAGATAGCAATGTCTTCTGTATTTTGTTAGCACCATATACTAGCATAATGACACTCAAGCAGGGTAAGATCAAGTGCTTACCTAGGCGATGGTGCTCAGTCGTTGTAGCCACTGTTGTCACTGCCAAGCGCGTGTCTGTCACTGAAACGCAACCGCGATACGATTCGAGGCTATGTTCAGGGCCATCACACCCGGGAGACAGATAGGCGATATAATTACCGAAAGCGTGGCATGCAGCAAATGCCATAAGGACAATAGTGGAGAGGTTGAACATGTTAAAGTCGAAGGCTTGGTATACAGATATTGCCGAAGATTGTACGAGCTTAGGAATCGCTAGCGACTGTACATAGAACGATTAAAAGCGAGTGTAGTTAGTAGAGAGAGACTCGGAATTCTGCAAGCGAGTGTAAAAATCTAGGCAAGCGAGTGTATAAGTTAGGGAGCGAGTGTATAAGTTAGGATGCCCAGGAGTTTGCGATCTGGACGCGTGGGAGAGATGGCAATCTCGACCCCGGAACGCGACCGCGACCGCGACCGCGAAGCGACATCCCTGCCAACCGAGCTACCAGCACCACTGAAGAGGCGCGCAAGAAACACTGTCGAGCAAA